TTGAATTCAGCCAAGTGAACTAAGGAAATATATTTAATACAAAATAAATTCATTTATAGACTTTTATATTACCTTAAGAGTTGGGGAACTGGTGATTTTGCTCAAAAGTCACATGAAGTAGCCATGTGTACTTGACATGTGATAACACGCATCTACAAAATTGTAATACATTTTTACTTCAACTTGTTTTTCATAGAGTAAAGGGAGAAATAGACCAGACCTGCTCCTAACAAAACAACAGTTGTCTATAGCTCCTTTCAAAACCACAGGACACTGAGAGGAGGGCTCTCTAAGATATGATCTCTTCTTTCTCAGATCCCTTGAGGCAAAAATAAATGTAAGCCTTTTGCCTAGGATCATTGGGGATTCCCAAAGCTTTTAAAATCTCAGTAGAGCTTGTCAGGCACTTGGGGGGCCCCTTTGCTAGTTTATAAATCACTATCAAACTCCGCAAGTAAGACTCTACCTCTTTACCCTGAGCACAGGTGCTCCATCTCTCACAAAGCATAGTCCTCACTACAGATTCAACTGAAAGTGATAACGTTGCTCATTGCACAGTGAGTGAGGTATTTCAGAGATAAGTAACATCAGCTACTAAATCTTGAGAATGTTTATTTAAAAAATTATAATCACTTCACATTAAAATTCAATTTTAAAAGTTAAAAATAACACCACTAATATTGTTTCTCCATGGCATAGGATAAAAAAAGGATCATGTTGTTGTGTAAGAAGCATATGATCTTTAAATTATTTTGGAGAATTTTATGTTTGGTAAATAATACTAAAGTTAAATTGTTGCTAGTTGTATTTTTCTATGTAATATTTGTTATATTCATCAACAGTTTATTGGAAATGTTAATGTTATATGGGCATATTGTGTTTAAAAGTTGAATGGATTGTGAGTATTTTTGTTTATTTTGATTACTGAGAGTTCTAAAACCAATATTTTATTAACATACTCCACAAACATGATTATAATTGTTTTTTAGATACAGAGCTATGCAGAATACCATATACTTAGAGAGAACTTCTCTGCCCATAGAGTTAAGCAAAAACACTTTTCCTGATATAAATGTTGAACTCATGTCTTCTAGTGGTATTTGTTCTCTTCTTTACAAATTCCAAGATTTTCAAACGGGGGCTTGTGTTTTGTGAACCTGACCATTGGAAGCCAAAGCCAAATTTAAATTGCCGGATTAAATAAAAATAGAGGATTGGTGTGGCTGGAGAATTGTTTGCAGAAAGATGTGCAACTTCAACCTTGAATTGACAACAGAAGATGGCTCTATTTTTACACTTATATTTTCTTTAAAGTAGAAATTTTACAAATGCGCCTTAGAAGAGAAAATATATTCGCCCTTCTCCAACTGAAACTTCTACAAATCTTGCCTTAACTTGCAATGTACCAGTGAAGCTTTTCGTCTATATCTTAATGTTAACAGTCAGGTAGATACAGATTTGAATTTACAGACCTCTGAATCAAATCTTGATAGAATGATTTTGTAAAGTTTTGCTTGTCTCCAAATTTTGTTTACATCATGCTTTTCTGTTTTATATTTTAACTTAAAAAAATAATTTATTGAGGATTTCATACATGCATATAAAGTGTTTTGATCAAATCCATGCCCACTGCCTCCCCTTCAACTTATTTAAGCTTTTTAAACAACCATCAACACAAGTATGATTGCACACATTTTGCGAATAAGCAATACTGTTCTCAGAAAGTTTAAGTATCTTCTGGATTATAAAAGGTGAAGTGATGAAGCCAGGAAGTCAGCATTCTTCCTTGATGTTGTTTGATCTCTTAGGCATGCTTGAATGTCTCACTCAGTGTTCTAAATCCTGCATGACACAAATACTGAGCAAAATGTTATAGCCCAATATTGTATTAATAAAGCATGGTGAAGACACAGCATAGTATGAACTCAGAAGGGGCAACTGGTCCAACAGCAAAAGAAACAGGCATTTTAAAGGTAGTTCCTTTCCTTGACCAAACAATTTACTAAATCTATAAAGTATAAAAGGTAAAATCAATAAAATAAAAGACAGATGAATATTTGGAAGTAAAGTTATGATAAAGGAAAAAGGTTTACACTATTTCGAAGATGCAGCCACAACATGGTTATGAGTAAGACAGGCTTATAGACATGCTTCCTTGTTTCGGGTATATTAGTAGCATGATTTTTTAAAATGTATTTTTTTATCTTGCCTCTAACAGGAGCATTTTTACTTAAAAGATTTTTGTGAAAACCTGTATAATATGTTGGTTAGACTGAAGGCAGATATAATACGTTCATTATCTGTTTATCATTTAGATTTATTTTATAAGTAACATGAATAGTAAATAAACACTTAATATATTTGTCTATAGAAATTCTAATATTATAATCCAGGAGATATGCCACAACTTCATCATCTGAATGTGGAGATAGATCAGACATGAAGTACTAATAATTATTTATTTACTGGATATTTGAATTCCTTTCTTTTTAATTTCCATCTTTGCCACTATTTCTATATTTCTTCAATCTATGTTTATGTTGTCTTTATCTTCCATCTAACATACATTTAAGGCAGGATTAGTCACCAGAAACTGGATAAGTACATGACCTTATACTTTTACAATACACAAAAGCAAAAATGATAAATTAAAATGATTAAATATGTATATGTATAATTATATGTGTGTATAAACACATATACGGGTATACATGTACATATATCCACATATCTGTGTATATAAACAAGCTCAAATACAATTTCTGCTTTGCAGCATTATTTTATTTTGTAATTTTAATGGATTTAGGTATACTATTTTAGTATAAGATCATGGACTGTACAAATAATTATATTTTATTGCTTTACTGGAATAATCTCATTCTCAATGATCAATTGTGTTTTCAGTAAAAGTAACTAAAATTTTATAATATGGTATCTAAATTTACTTCAGTATATTTGTGTTGAATACTATGACAGATTGTAAGGAAATGCTAACTTATCAACTTTTGAGTAGTGTGTGATGCATTTATGTCCTATTATTTTATAGAATTAGTCTACATAGCAGTATTTATATATAGTACTGTTCTTAGAAATTTACTTAGAATACATAAATGTAATCCAGTGAAATCATGTAAGTTATTTCAATAATTTTTTAACTAAGTTTAATATATGGAGCTGTGAAAATCTCATTCATCTGTCAAAATAACTAAGAAACTTTAGAAAAAAATTCTCTAAGGAAAAAAAAACAGTTGTGAATGCAAGCACTTACACATAAATTGATAAAGAGGGAACATAATCATAATCCAAAGCAATTATACAACTATGAGCTGCTAAGTCTATGTCAAAGGACTGGGGAATGCTCTTTGGAAGAGATAAACGTGTGGTTAATTAAAGGCTAATAAAGATTAAGCATATGTTCACTCATTAGTATGAAAAACATAGGGAGACCCAAATATCCAGTCATAGCATTTGGCTTGAGGGAATGTACAAAGTAAAAAATTAATGTAAGAACTTAAATAAAAAGTCTACGATCAATGAACTTATTAGTATTAAACTCTCTGTGACTAGTTTATTCTTAGTTATTTCTCATTTTAATCTAAAAAATAACAGTAACATTCTTCTTATTTTAAGAAGAGGGCTCTCAGCACAGATAAGTAAAGATAAAGACCTAGCATGCTATGGAGTCATAGTGCAAACCCAGGCTGTACATTTCCTGATCCTGTATCCTTACCAAAAGACACAATAAATAGACGTTTCATGGTGACCTCAATCATGTTTCTGAAGAAAATCTCAGAAAATTCTATGTGTTAAAAAGTTACATTAACCAAAGAAATACAGAATGCATGGCTACTGTCTAAAGAGAGCTTTAAATTTGTAAGGAATTGAGAGATATAAGAATTTAGGACTCTTTGAAATAGAGAAAACATTTTGAAAAATAATAAAAATTTTAGTCAAGCCATAGAGTGGTCTGCTACATGTCTTACTATGTGTTGTGGACTATCTGTGAATTAATTGAGTGTGTAAGACACAGAAGATTAAGATTCACCCTTGACATAACAAGTTCCTGGTACTGGGATTCTAGTTATTTCATGGACTTGACTGGTATTTCCTTTAGGAATCAGTTGAAGGAGAGGAATAAGGAGGTTGTCCATACACACACACACACACACACACACACACACACACACACACACACACGCACAGAAATCATTTATCAGACAAAGCAATATTTATTATTTTGGTCAGCTTATTGTGATAACTATCAGACAATAAATTTAATCAATTGAATGAGTAAAACTTGCTTAATTTTAAAATGTATAAAACTGTGGAATCACTACCCCGTCCATATATGGGGCATTAATCCCACTCCTTACAACCTGCCACACTGGTGCCTCTGATCAGCCTTCCCTGAATGTGATTTCTTTTTTCACACACATGAGTTCAGGCAGTATTTTGTATTTGGTAATTTTCTTCTTTCATATAGAATAAGTAATCATCTGTCAGCTATTTCTTCCATTTAAAATTTAAATTACATGGATCTGCTACAGTTTATTCAATCTTCAATAAATGCATATCTTCTTTTCTTCCAGTTTTTTGTCTATCATCAGTAGAGATTCTATGACTAATTCTAAATGTCTTTATGTGAACACATATTTTCATTTCTATTGGGTAAACTCATAGTAATAAAATTTTGGGGTTATATTTAGTGTGTGTGTGTGTGTGTGTGTGTGTGTGCTTTCCTTTAAAAGGAGCTGCCAAATTGTTTCTGAAGAGATTGCACAATTTTCCATTCCATCAACACGTTTGGAGAATTACAGTTGTTCTACAGTCTCTGCTCAAAATTTGATGCTCAAAGTAGAATTCCCTGAGCCTTAAATGTGTTATTCCATCTATAAAACAGAGTCTTACCTCTTATTTGGATATTTTGTTCTCTGACACAGTTTACTTTTCCCCCATAGGTCTGTGAGCATCCAGGATTGTAGCCCCACTGACTCTCTACCATGTCTGGTTTGAATAATTCTTCTTATGGGCCCACATTTTCCTTCATTGGTATTCCTGGTCTGGAGGCTGCACATATGTGGATCTCTATCCCCTTCTGCCTCCTGTACATGGTGGCACTTGGGGGCAACATTCTCCTTCTCCTGCTAGTCAGAGTAGAGCCAAATCTACACGAACCCCAGTTCTACTTTTTGGCCGTGCTGGCCCTCACTGACTTGGGCCTTTCACTATCCACGATGCCTAGTGTCCTGGCTATCTTCTGGTTTGATGTCCACGATGTTGGCCTGGATGCCTGTCTGACCCAGATGTTCTTCATTCACACCCTTTCTTCAGTAGAATCAGGTGTGCTGGTGGCCATGGCCTTTGATCGCCTGGTGGCTATCTGTGCTCCACTGAGCTATACCAGGATCCTGACCCACTACACTGTTGCCTTCCTCAGTGGGGCGGCCCTCCTACGAGGAGCCACTCTATTGGCCCCTCTGCCGTTTTTCCTCAGGACGGTTCCTTTCTGTGGGGCCAATATCCTCTCACACTCTTACTGCTACTACTCAGATATGCTGAACTTGGCCTGTGGGGATGTCACTTTCAGCAGTGTCTACGGGTTGGTCTGTGTACTCTGCACATTTGCAGTGGATGTTGTCTTCATCCTCATTTCATATGTGAAGATCTTGGGCACTGTGATGAAACTGGGAATCCAGGAGCAAAACTGGAAATCACTGCAAACCTGTGCCTGTCACCTCTGCACAGTGCTGGTGTTTTACCTGCCTCTCATCAGCCTCGCAGTGCTGCATCGTTACGCCCAGGAGACTTCTCCGATCCTATATACCACCATGAGCAATGCCTACCTCCTCATGACACCACTGCTAAATCCCCTGGTTTATAGTCTCAAATCCAGGCAGATCCAGGCTGCCCTATGCAAGAGATTTGGGGTGCAACGAGTTGTTGCTGGTGAATGAGACTTTGTATAAGAAGATGTGGTGATCTTAAAACTCTTATTCAGGATCCAACCTGTGAAAAATAGTATTCTAAGCACCATGAATTCAAACATGGAAAAAAATGTTCAAATCCTTCCCTTAATAAGGGAAATAAGGTGGAAAAGGCAGGCAGAATGCTCTAAAAATATCACAAATACAATCATTAATGGTGGCTCTTTCTGAATAGTAGGGAGAAATCACAGTAGGAATCCAAGTTCAAAGTTATTGGTATATGAGCTGAATGAAAATAACACCACCGCTGAGAAGCTGAGGGGTCTAACTCTGTGTGGTACATAAGCCATGAGGGCTGGTTTTACATAAAAATCAAGATGTTGTATGGTTATCCATCTCAATGTTGCTTAGGCTAAGACATTAAAAATTTAGTTCAAAATTTATGATAATTACATGACTATATATTTCACATTAATTGATGTCCAGAAAACTCTTCTGATTCTAAAAAATAGATAAATGTACATATTGAAAAGATATATGGTTATATATCTCTCTCTATCATCTATCTATCTATCTATCTATCTATCTATCTATCTATCTATCTATCATCTATCTCTCCCTCTGTCTGTCTGTCTTCCCCTTCTTTCTGGCTTTCTATCATCTATCATCTATCTATCTATCATCTATCTATCTATCTATCTATCTACCTATCTATCTATCTATCTATCATCTATCTATCTATCTATCTATCTATCATCTATCTATCACATATCTATCTATCTTCTCTATCATCTATCTATATCATCTATCATGTATCTATCTATCTATCTATCATCTATCTATCTACCTATCTATTATCTAATATCTATATCTATCATCTATCTATCTATCTATCTATCTATCTATCTATCATCTATCTAATCTATGATCTATCTATCATCTATCTATCTATCTATCTATCATTTATCAATCATCTATCTATCTGAGACCATTGTTCTTAGCCATCTTATTTATTGAGATTTGATGTTTCATTAGAATTCTGATTTGTTTCAAATAACATAACTTTTGGAAGGGGGAAATGGATTAGCTGTTCTGCTGTGGTGCCAGCTATTGTAAAGCTAGAGTCCCGAGCAAATAAAGAGTTATCATATATGGCTCAAGATAGGAAGCAGAGGGAAAAGAGAGACTAATTTTGTATGATAATAAACATGCTGTAAAGCAGCAAGAATTTGAAGCTGCTTTAAGAATATTTTAAGCAAATTTCTAAATGATAGCTCAAATAAGTAATTGGAAGATATTCTTAAGTTCTTCCTGACACATTCAGTAGAAATCAGAGAAAAGACATAATAGTCATATAGTTCCCATTCTGGTACAAAAATCTGAACAAAGTTTGTACCAAAATGATTATGGGGGTGGACATGGTTTGGTTTGCAGTAAGGAAAGCAGTGAGGAATGGGGTTAAGATCTTCCTGGAGAGGGAAAATCCATGAATATAAAGGACAGAAACCTGGCATCTGTCTCAGTTCCAAAGCATTCACCTCGTGCTGCCTGTTAAAGGTTAACAGATTAGAGGAAGGTACTTTAGCAAACAAATGATGAGGTCTTTGCTCTGAGAAAGAGATCATTTGAGAATCATAAGAAACCTCTTAAGGTTCAGTTGGATGACTTTATATACGGTTCATCTCTCTGGTCATAAGCCTCTTGCATCTTACTTTCCCAAGCAAGAGAACAGAGATATGGGACAAAAACTCAGTGAGCCTTCTGATTTCTGAAGAGCCAGTTTTCCTTTTAGGAATTTCTCCCTTTTGCGTACCGTGTAGGTGATAACTATACTGTGAATTTTCCAATAAGGTCACTTTTCTGGCATTTCATAGCAAAACTAAAAACTGAATGCAAATTTTCCCATCACATTTTATGCCAGAACTGTGCAGTGTGAGATATAGTCATTCCATTTGATCTGTGACAAAGGAAAGACGTAAGTCCTCTTGTGTTCATTTTCCTGGAGATTTAAAAGCTACACTCAGTCTAAATTATGAATAAGAACTGAATTAAACAAAGTAGCATTAGATATGATGGTGACTCTGAAAGAAGAAAAGATCTAGTTGTGCTGAGTCCTTAACCCTGTCTTTGGACCCATAAGATACTCTGAATGAGTGACACACCATTTTGCCTAAGTTATAGAGGAAATAATGAGGTAGCTTGAGAGCATGCTCTGTTTAGGTGGAAAGAACCACTGACTTAATTCTACTAGATAATTTAACAAACGTATTCCTAGCTTATCTCTTTCCCTAAGTAATAATTCCCTGAATGACGGCACTATTCTGATGCATTTGACTCTAATGATTGGCACATGGTCAATTCTTAGAATGGTTGTGCATAGAAATAAAAGGTGAAACAGAAAGAAACGGGAGGAACAAACGGACAAAACGAAAAGTGAGGGTATGTTGCATAACTGCTGCATGAGCCGTGAATTAGAATCTGCATGATGCTATTAGCAGTGGATAGAGAAGCAGTGCCTTGCTTTGCCCTGGGGCGGGCCAATTTCAGCAGTACAATTATGAATACAGGATAAGATGATTGCCTCTGACATGCAGTTACAATAATGAACTGGAAAATGAATCTGTGACATAACACTTTAGCATGTTTTTCAGTATACACATTTTACAAACAATAGTATCATCAAGGAAAAAACATGGTTTTACTTGGAAAATAACTGTCTGGTTATCATCAATAATTAACAATGAGAGTGACATAAGGAAATGTTACTGTATGTTTCTTAATTCTGCCTTGATATTTTTTAAAATATGTTTTAGCATATAATAAAATTTTAAATATTCATTGATTTTGGGTGTTTGGATATCTCAGTCATTATAATTAAGATACTGTACAAGGTGCTGGAGAGATGGCTCAGCAGTTAACAGCACTTGTTGCTCTTGCCAAGGTCCTGAGTTCTGTTTCCTACACCCACAATGGATGGCTCACAACCATCTGGAACTCCAACTCCAGTAAATCCAGTGCCCTCTTGTGACCTACGTGGGCTCCCGAACACAAAGAATATACAATCAGTCAGGTGTGGCATGGTGGTACAGGCCTGTGGTCCCAGCACTCGGGAGGCAGAGGCAGGCAGATCTCTGTGAGCTCAAGGCCAGCCTGGTCTACATAGTGAGTTCCAGGGCAGCTGAGGCTACAAGGAGACCCTGTTTCAAAAACACCGACAAAACAAAACAAAACAAAACAAAAGAGCATACATACACACACAATTTTTAAAAATTTATTTTTTTTAAATTTTTAATTGAGCTTTTAAAATTTCATACAATATTTCCACTCACATCCAGACCCCACCCCATCCCTCATCCACGCCTTCTCCCCACACCGAACCCTATGCACTCTGTCATGCATGCTGGGTCCTATTCTTTCAGGTGTTTGTATCCAAATGTCCTTCAGTGTAAATGCCTCCAGTGGAGTCTAGTCAGTCCATTCAGTGGTCATATGTAAGTCATATTCTCCCTCACTCAGCAGCAATCTGTCTCAAATGCTGCTCCACCTAGTGCTGACCCGCTGTCTATTTCTCACCTCCCCTTTAGGCCCTTGATAGAGTTGACGTGGGTCCTGCATTGGATGCCACCACTGCCGCAAGCTCATATGAGCAGGACTCTACTGGCCTGGAAGCCTCCACCACCTATGTTCATGAATGAGCCCTGGTTCTTAACAATCTTTCCACAAAATGTTCAACATGATTAACCATCAGTGAAATGATAATTATAACTATTTTGAGATTTCATCTTGTACCCGTCACAATGGCTAACTTAAAAATGATAACAAATGCTGAAGTGGATATGGAGAAAGAGTAACACTTCTTCGTTGCTGGTCAGAGTGGAAACTGTTGCAGACACTATGGAAATAAGTCTGGAGGTTCCTCAAAGAACAAGAAATAGAGCCATAAGATCCAGCTATGGGCCAGCTATGGATATTATATGAGATGTATAAATAATTGATTTTATCAATAAATGTACTGCGTGTATATACTCATAAAACTAATTTTTCCCACATATGTTCTGATATTCTTCATTACTTGAACAGAAAACAAAGAGAAATTCTTGGAAGGAATTTTTTTGCTAATCTCTGTTGTAGACAGGATTAATATTTTTTCCTATTTTCAAATATAGTTTATCATCATGGAATTTGATAAAGGATTCAGAATTTTTGTCAAATCTTCCAGCCTATTTCTTTCTTTTCCGCTGTTTTCTTTCATCTCAGTTTCACAGTATATTATTTATCTTCCTTCTTGAAGTATTTTATACGAGAAAAAGCCATATACATCTTCTAGATTATTTTATTATATTACACTACAGAATAGATGTGTCATAGAGGTCAATTTGAAAATTGACCAGCTGTCTCTGCTCAGACCCGAGAGAGTCAGTAGAGGAGCTTGTTCCCAGGACACCAACTAGGACCGAAAGTACTGTCGTGGCATAATGGAATGATGCTTTAAAAGGTGATAAAGACTAAGTGTGTGGCTGGTGTGTCATTTGAATCACTTCAGGAAAATGTAAATGAACAAAAATCTGTGTCAAACACAGCTCCAGAGAGACATTCAACTGCTACTTCCACAAAACACAATATTTTATCTTGTGGGAATCTAGGGCAGTGATGGTGATTTACAGGTGTTTGCTGGAGATGAAGCAGTAAGTTCGTCATGGAAGCACTCTGTGTTCTCACCATAGTCCGGTCAGTCCTTCCTTGCTCTAATGAAAAGCCCCAAACACTGAAACAGATGTTCTCTTGTGAGGTTCAGAGACAAAGTCAGTTGTATAGAGTTTGTGTTGCAAGTAAACAGTTTTGTTTCAATATAAAACACAATCCTTCTCAGAGTTGATGTATTCCTTGAAAATTGAACTTATCTGTATATATACAATATGAACTGTTGAATGTGAGTTTCTAGGAAATTATCCTTCATTTCAGGCTAAGTCATGTCTTTAAGTTGAAAAATGCCTCTTTTCATCATACACACTCATGCTATTCACATACTG